CTGTGACCAGGTAGACTTTATTCCAAGATACAAGGATGCTTCAACATGTGAAAAACATTAAATATTATACATCACATTAATTAAAGGAAAGATGAAAACCATAGGATCATATCAGTCTATGAAGAGAAAGCATTTGATAAAATACAACTTCTCTTCATGATGAAAACTCTCATCAAAATAGGCATAGAAGGGGCAGTCCTCAACACAATAAAAGCCATCTGTAATAAATCCACAGCTAACACGATACCAAATGGGGAAAAGCTGAAAGATTTTCCACTAAAAACAGGAACAAGTTAAGGCTACCCACTTTATCCACTCCTTTTTATTTATTTATTTATTTTGGAGAGCTTTTTGCCATAAGGCATGTGACTATTCGCCAGAAAGACAGAGAGAGACAGAGAGACAGAAAGTGAGATATCATCCCCCAGGGGTGTGTGGCCATGCCTCAATCCCTTCTCCTCCATTCTCCTCTTGGGATCTTGGGCACACATGTGCATGCACCCAGCGTGAGTTTAAGCACTGGGTCCAGGATTTGAACCGTGGTTGAGTACATGGGAATCCAGTTACATGGTCATTATGCCATCTGCTGGTCCCTCTCCACTCCTTTTTGACATAGTACTGGGAGCTCTAGCCAATGCAATCAGACAAGGCATTCAAATAGGAAAAAAAGAAGTGAAATGATCTCTTTTTGAGATGATATGATGCTATACATAGGAAATCCAAAAGAATCCACAAAAAGCTATTGTAAGTGATAAATAAATTTAGGAAAGTGGGAGGATGCAAAATTGACATACAAAATCTATAGCATTTTTATCCAACAACAATGGACAAACTAAGATAGCACTTAAAAAAGCAATATCATTTCCCAGAGGCACAAAACCAATAAGATATCTAGGAATAAACCTAACCAAAGAAGTCAAAGATCTCTACATAGAAAACTGTGAAACCCTTGAAAACTAAATTAAAAATAATATGGAAAAGTGGAAAAATGTCCCATGTTCCTGCATTAGAATTAATACAATCAAAATGTCAATCCTACCAATATTACTCTACAAATTCAATGCAATTCCAGTCAAACTACCAGGGATATTTCTCACAGAAATAGGAAAAAAGTCATAAATTTGTCTGGAATCATAAAAGGTCCCATATCACCAAAACAATACTGCACAAGAAGAAAAAAGTAGGAAGTCTCTCACTTCCTTACATCAAAACATATTACAAAGCAGTGGTAATTGAAACAGTATGGTATTGGCACAAAAACAGACAGGCAGACAAATGGAACAGAATTGAGAACAAATGGAACAGAATTGAGAAACATACTGCCAAGTGATCTTTGATAAAGAATACAAGATGATCTAGTGGGAAAAAGAAAATCTCTTCAGCAAGTGATGAACTGGATATCCACCTGCAGAAGAATGAAACTGGATCCTTATCTTTCACCACTAACAAAAATCAACCCAAAATGGACTGAATATCTAAACATAAGACTTCAAACTATAAAACTACTGGTGGAAAACACAGGAAAAACTCTTGGAGACATTGGGCTAGGCAAAGACTTCTTAAAGAAGACACCCCCCCACCCCAAAGCACAGACAATTGTCCCCAAAATAGATAAATGGGCCTATGTTAGGCTGTGATGCTTCTGCCCAAGCCAGAGAAAAAACAATTAGAATGAGAAGACAACCCTCAGAGTGGGAGAACATATTTGCAAACTATACTTCAGATAAGGGACTGATAACCAGAATATACAGGGAACTCAAGGAGCTTACTCACAAAAAAATACCAATACAATCAAACAATGGGAAAATAAACTGAACAGACAACTCTCCAAACCAAAGAAGACTGAAAAGCATATGAAAACATGCTCAACAGCTCTTATCATAAGGGAAATGCAACTCCAAACCATGAAAGATACCATGTGACCCCAGTCAGAATGGCTAGAATTAAAATAATAATAATAATAATAATAATAATAATAAAGTGCTGGCCAGGTTGTATTGCTAAATGAACTCTCCTATACTGTTGGTGGAAATGTAAATTAATACAACCACTGTGAGGAATGATATGGAAATTCCTCAGAAACCTACAAGTAGAACTATCATATGACCCAGTAATTCCATTCTTAGATAATTACCCAAAGGATAGAAAAACGCTCATTCATAAAAGAATACTTGCACATCAATGTTAATTGCAGCACTGTTTACAATTGCTGGGGCATAGAATCAACCCAAATGTCAAAAAAAAGATGAGTGGATTGAAAAAATGTGGCATATGTACTCTATGAAATACTACTCAGTGATAAAAAAATAAATGAGACCCTGACATTTAATATAAAATGGGTGAATATGGAAGACTTAATGCTAAACAAAGCAAACCAGACTATGAAAGACAAACTTTGTATGTCCCCACTCAATGTATACTGAATGCCTATGCCCTATAGCAGAAACAGAAAGATTGGAAAGTATAGTAGCAAGACTATAGATACTAGAAGTAGCAGGAATAGGGGTAATATGGGGGAGTGGGTAACAAGGGTAAGGATGGGAACAGGGAAAAAAACAGTATGTCTAATTGACATGAAAATGAAAATTTATTTGCTGATGATAATGTATATAGTACTATCTTTGTCTTGACTGATATGTACTGTATTTGTGTTGGGAAAAGCCATGTCGTACACCATAAAGATGTATAGTGATTAAATGTAAATAATGAGTTAAAAAGAAGAAAGAAAATTGCCACTGAGTTTTTTTTGGCCAATGCTCTACAATAGTGCATTACTCATCCTCGAAGGAGCAAGCACTGTAAAATGGTGTTTTCTCTGGTATTTCTGTAGCATTCTGAAATATGAGAATTCATAATTTTTTGTCCTCAAAATTTGAACAACTTATAGTCCTAATGTCCCTGAATAGAATTGCTCCAACGTTCTTTTCTACTTTGCTATCATTTATACCTTGGTTTTGTCTCTCTAATCTATACCTCATGTTTTAATTTGTCTTTCACATTTTCCTTGTATCTGTGATGCACTTAAATAATGTACTGGCTTTGCTTTCTAATTTTCTCTTCAGATGTGTCTTTTCCATTGGGCTTTAATTTCAAATTCCAATTTTCTTTTCTAAAGGTTGTGTCTTTTTAAAATACAACGTCATTTTGTAGTGTCTTGTGCATTCTTCTTGATTCATGTTTTCATTCTTTTAACATATTACATTTACATCTCTATACAATAATTTCCATATATTTAATATTTGTAATACCATTTTTTTTCTGTTGACTTTCATATATGCTGGAATTTTGTTTGGTTTGTGCCTCATGCTATTTGATTGTAAGTTCATATTTTAAATCCTCTGTTAGATTCCAGTTTGTCATTTTTGAAGGTACATTATTTTCAGTGAAGATTTGCATTACTTCTGCCAAATGTGTGAACCTATACTAAATAGCCAGTCAAAATATTTATCTTGATGTGTTGGATCACACAAAGAATGCAATGACCAACAAACCCTTCTTATGAAAGCATTTATTTTAATCTCCTCTAAGAATCAAGGTTGAAAGAGATTGTTTTCTTGCTGTTTCTTTCTGCCCACCTGTCTTTCTTACACTGTTCTCTTTTATGAGGGTCTGAACACCTAGCCTGGCTTCCAATCAACTTTCCTATCCAAGCTCATGGTGCTTTTCCAAATACAAAGATGTGCTTGTAGGCGCTCCAGGCAATGGTATTCTGCAGATGGTCTCAGAGTGAGCATTGGTGCTCATTTATCTTCTTGGCATGAAATTCCAGCTTCATACTGGGTATCAGATGTGTTTTTCTTTTATCTTCCTTCGGTATCTTTAATTTATTTGAAAATGTATTCTAAATGGTTTTAGAAATTACGCATGTCTTATAATAAAAGAGTTTTAGGGTCTTCAACGTGCTATACTGACAGATGAAAAATATTTCAAAGTACTTTTGCAGAGTGTACTCCCATCCACTAGAAGATGCATATTTTAATTTATAACTGGCTGATATTCCTTTAATATGGAGTATGTTGTAAAGTAAGACTATGTTTGTTATTGTTGTTTACTATAATAACAATAGACTCTAATATAATTCCTAGTAGCAAATATTCAAAACTTGTTATATTTTTTCTTTTGCATTTGTTTTATATTTGTTATGTATACTACTCTTTTGGCTTAATTACAGTACTTTTTTTTTGAGAGATTTTTGCTATAGGTGTATGTGCTTGCCAGAGACAGAGAGACAAAGAGAGACAGAAAGCAAGAAATCACCCCAAGTGTGTTGGTCACGCTGCAATTCCTTCTCCTCCATTCTCTTCTCGGGATTTTGGGCATGCATGCACAAGTGCCCAGTGTGTTTTAAGCCACTGGATCTGGGACTTGAACCGTGGTTAACTATGATGGAGTCCAGTGAAGTAACCATTCTGCCATCTGCTGCTCCAGTACTTTCAATTTTATTACTTAAATATATGAGTACTATATGTTCTTCTATTTAACATATAACATCTCATAGTAAAGGTACATATACTCTTTAGTAGATGGTTAAATTGAATAATATTATGCTAGAATATAGTTCATTTTTCTTTATCGGTATGTATGAACTACTATAAGCCAATTTCAGTGCTAATTACAAAGATTACAGAATTTATAATCTAAAATGAAGGAAATATTAATCTATAACTACACAGGTAATTAATATGGTAATACCTATAATATGCACAAATAGAAATTGTAGCATATCATAAAGAATTAAATCATCTAAACTAGTCATGAATGCATAGGAAAGGTGTTCTAAAATGTACCATTTTATTTGAATCCTCTGAAAGAGTAACCTGAATAAGGAGGTGATGGAAGCTTATTCCAGGTGAAGATAATAGCCTTACAAAGTTGTGAGTTCACAAGATGTCTGGGTAGCATGGTGGTAGCATGGTGGTTAAGGTCCTGGACTCCCACTACATGACCAACTACAGTTTGAATCCCAGATCTGATGGTTTGCTTTCCCACAAGATGCATGGTTATTTGGATAACTTGAAAAAAGTTCAATGTGACTTTAGCATTATAAAAACAAGTTAATTGGAGCAAAATTCCATAGTTTTCAATTAGCAATAATCGCGCCTCGGATAAACCTCACTGACTACGATACTGCCACTGCGCAAAGCTGGCTAAAATTCCATAGTTAGATCATATTATGAAAGTTACATTTTGAACTTAAGTCCGAATGCAAACAATATAGTTTTAATCAAGGATGTGAAATGAGATTTGCTTTGTAAAAATTTATTTATTGATTGATTATTATTATTATGAAAAATTTGATCAGAGAGAGAGAGAGCAAACCACAAGGTCTGGAATTTGAACCATGGTTGGTCATGTATGAGTCCAATGCCTTAATCACCAAGCCACCTGCCAGCCCTGAGATTTGCTTTTCTAAAAAAATCATTTAGAGAGAGATTTTTGCTATAGGGCACTTGTGCTCACTGGAGAGACAGAGATAGAAAGCAAGAAATCATCCCCCAGGGGGAAAGGCAATGCTGCAATCCCTTCTCCTCCATTTTCTTTACAGGATTCTGGGCATGCATGCACATGTGCCTGGCCTATTTCAGGCCTCTGGGTCTAAGACTCAAACTGTGGTAGACTACATGGGAGTCCAGCAATGTAACCACTATGCCATCTGCTGGTCCTAACATTTGCTTTTTAAAGACATCAATCTACTTGTAGAGAATTCATTGAAAGGAGAAAAATATCTATGTGTCCATTTAGAGTCAGTTATGAAGGTATTACCTAGTGCAAGCAAGAAATGTTGGACTCTTGAAATGGGAAATATTATTTAAGATAAAATGGATATAGGATTTCTAATTTTGTATGCACTGCCCATCTCCTTCTCAACATACATGTTCAAATAACACTTAGCTTTTAAATACAATAAGTTACAGCCCTACTGGAAGTAAATTTAGCTGTAGTTTTACATAATGCCCTTTGAAAGGTAAAGGTACATGGTATATTACACAAAATACAGACACATGCCTCTGTTTTTCTTTGTATTCATCGAGGATGAAATGTCAGCTGTGCGTATTTATATTTCTAAGTGTATTTGGTATCACTGACTGCTCTTAGTCTTATTGAAATGGCCTTTTCATTGATTTTTTTCCTCTGGCATCTTAGATTTATTATACTTTCAAATAAACTGACTTATTCTTTTGGTTTTTTTTGCTTCATTGGTTCAAGAAGTCAGAATTACATTTTTCTTATTATTAACATTATTTGAGTCACAATTCAGGTAAGGTACTTCATATAACAATAGTACAAAGTTATGAATGCCATGAACAATAGTACAAAGTTATGAATGCCATGAATCATCATAATCTATTAAAATAATATCTAATAATATTAACATATTTTTATAGTTATTTCTTCACTAATAAATGCATATTGAGTGCCTATGGCAAAAATACTCATTGATTGCTGCAGATCTCTAATTATCTCTTCATAACACTGTTAACTGTGCATTTAAGTAATTTAGTATTAACATTTTCTGTATTGGTTTTAATTCTAATAAAAAAAGTGATATAATGTATTATACAAATGTATTCAAATGATCTTAGCATAGTATTTGAAATTTATGTTAGTTACTGAGTGCTACAATCTAGAAGTTCTGAATGGAGTTGACATGTTGGAGTCGTAATTTTCTCATGGCCCCTTGCATTTTCTGATTTCTCAGGGTATAAATAATAGGATTCAGTAAGGGTGTGATAACAGTGTAAAATACAGCAAGAGTTTTATTGCTTGCAAGATTACTGAATGGCCAGGCATAGATAAAGATACAAGGTCCAAAGAACAGAGTGACCACAATGATGTGGGCAGACAATGTGGAGAGAGCTTTGGTCAGCCCTCCAGATGATCTTTGTTGTACGGTGACCAGGATCACAGTGTAGGAGACAAGCAAGAGGATGAAGCAGATAAAAGAGAGCAGCCCACTGTCAGCAATGACAAATAACTCCAGGGAATATGTTTCCACACAAGCAAGCTTGATCACAAGGGGAAGGTCACAAAATATGCTGTCTACAATATTGTGGCCACAGAAAGGCAAGTTCACTGTTAATACCATCTGGCTCATGGTGTGGATGAAACCAATTATCCATGAAAGTAACACAAACCTATTCAGCAACCTGTGACTCATGATAGTTCTGTAGTGCAAGGGTTTGCATATGGCTATGTACCTGTCGAAGGCCATGACTATCAAAAGAGTCATCTCAGCGCCCCCAAAGAAGTGCATAAAGAACATCTGGGTCATGCAGCCCCACAAGGAGATGGTCTTGTGTTCAGTGAGCAAGTTCGTTATCATCTTGGGTGTTGTGGCAGTGGAGAGACACATGTCCAGAAAAGAGAGGTTTCCAAGGAGGAAGTACATGGGAGAATGAAGTGTGGAACTAAATGTCACTGTGACCATAATGAGAATGTTTCCCACCACTGTAGCACTGTAAATCAAGGAAAATGTCACAAAGAAGAAAATCTGGAGTTCCCATGGTCCAGAAAACCCTAGTAGAATGAACTCATTCACTACAGATACATTTTTAGGATCCATCTACTGAATTCAGGAAGGTTCCAGAAATTCTGTATATACAAGTAGAATTAAAAAAAAAAGTCACAGTTAGTACTAGTATTTTCCTATTTCTATTTGTTGGTGCTAATAATAGTTGATAATATGAGAACCTATAATTTAAAATATATCAGCTCATCAATGTGTATAATTGGAGATTATATTATATATCACATCACTTTGAAGCAATGTTTTTTCCAATTATGTAGTAATTGAAAAACCTTTGAAGGAGTAGAAGTTCTATTTTCCATTATTTTTCTTTGTCAAATCATTCTCTGATCCAGGACCAGTAGTTAGCGTAATGGCTCTGTCACTGGACTCCCATGTAGTTGACTGTGGTTCGCGTCCCGGACCTGGTGGCTTAAAACTCATGCCGGGTGTGTGTGTGTGCGTGCCCAAGATCTGGAGAGAAGAACGGAGGAGAAGGGATTGCAGCGTGGCCATCCCTCCTGGGGGGGTGATTTCTTGCTTTCTGTCTCTCTGTCTATGTCTGTCTGGCAAGCGCACACACCCTATAGCAAAAACCTCTCAAAAAAAAATTATTCTCTGATAAATTGACTTGGATTTTGTCACTAATCTGTTCATGTAGGAAGATTAGGTAGTAATGAATTACTGTTTGTTTGATCTTTTATTATTACAATCTTCTGTATCTGTCACTTTTAGAGGTTATGTTTTCCCACTATATAAGGAAAATAGAATTTGGAAAAGGAGAAAATTACATTGTCCTATATATATATTAAATAATTTATAAAGGTAATCCTATGGTTCTAAAATAAACTAACAAGCACTTTCACACAAATTAAGGGCTAATTTTTATATAGAAGAAAGTATTTGGGTTTACTAAAAATAATTTTGTTTCTTAATTTCTCTTGTGTAGTATACTAAAAATTTCAGAAAACATGGACTCTGCTTCAGATTTTTTTCAACTTGTTTTCTCAAATCCTTTGTGTTCCCATTGTTCGCAGTGAGGAGCTCATGTGGTCCATGTATGTGGTACATCTACGTGGTGGTTAGGAAGTAAGTAGTAAAGTGATTTGGTTCCAATACCTAGATTCTCCTCAGATTGTAATGTATAAGATTAAATGATCTTTACTTGGATGTTTAAGCATTTTTCTTAGGATCTAGAGTGATCATAAGTGATCAAAAAGCCCATCCACAATGCCACAACCAGAAAGGTGCTCTGCACAGTGGCTGAGCCACACGGGGACACCTGGGTTTAGTTCCTAAATCAACCTAAGTCAGGCCAGGTATGGTGGTATTACCTGTGATTGTAACAACTAACTGGGAGGCTGGAGCATGAGGACTGCAACATGCAAGACCCTGTCCAAAAATATCCCTCTCTTTCTCCTCTGCTATTGCTCTCTGTCTTTCTCTGCAAACAAACAAACAAGAGCAAAAAGTGATCAGTAAAAATTAAGCAATCGCTATGTGCAAGCCTCTGTTCTAAGTGTTTTGTATACTTAATGCATTTAGTGTTCATAACAATCCCACAATGTATAATATATACTATTATTGTGCTCATGTTGCATATAAGAAAACTATGATATAGAAATATTTAATGTCTTATTCTTGGATACTGCTAACATGGATCAAGACTAGTGTTGAAGCCCCGTCAGTGTGACACCAGAATCTGGGCTTATACTAATGCTTAGTGCATCCAAAATTTAAGAGTTATATATTTACCTCCAGACCATTATGTGTTGATTGAATTGATATGTTCCACATGAATCCCTTAGGTGCATGACTCAACGAATACTTTAGGATATCCCTCTGTCTTACAATATTCTTATGAAAATGAACCACTGTTCTATATGTAGGGAGTTCACAATCTAGAAAGATATGATTTATCAGACAAAAATAAGCCCTATGAATAAACAGTTAATTTAGTACAGGATGGGTACAAGATTTAAGAATTTCCAGTAAATGGAAATCAATTCCAAGTGACTATTTCAGACACAACCTCAGGTTTTGTTGCTAAAATATTCAAAATACCTAAAAACAAAACAGTTTTTACAATCAGTTGAACCAAAAAGATAAGGCATAGAGAATGTGTGAACAGGGGCACGGAGATTCCCGCCCTATGGCAAAAGCCAATGGAGGCTGGATGATTGCGGCATTGAAAACGTGTGAACATTTATAAGAAGAAAAGAAGTAAGAGCCATGAATAGGAAAAGTGGTGTATTGAGAAAAGGGATTGAATGAAAGTAACCAGACAAATAGGAAGGCCACAGTTTTTTCTCTAAGAACCTATAATTCTTTTCTAATTTTTACCTCTACTCAAGTTCCTGTCAAGATATCCTATCATCATTATCCAAACTTAATTTCAATTGTTTTCTTACCTTTGTTTTGTAAGTAATGGCTAGAGTGGGACCAGCAGCTAGCATAATGGCTATGTCACTGGACTCCCATGTAGTCGACCACGGTTCGTGTCCCGGACACACTGGCTTAAAACTCACGCCAGGCACATGTGTGTGCGTGCCCAAGATCCCGAGAGGAGAATGGAGGAGAAGGGATTGCGGGAGGAGAAGGTGTCCGGGCGGGGCCCGCCCCCCGGGGGGGGGGGGTTGATTTCTTGCTTTCTGTCTCTCTGTCTCTCTCTGTCTAGCGAGCGCACATGCCCTATAGCAAAAACCTCTAAAAAAAAAAAAAAGAAAGAAAGAAAGAAAGAAATGGCTAGTGTGACAAATTAGGGAAAAGAAAGAAAAAGAATGCAATTCCTTTGGGTCCACCTCTGGCAGCACACTGAATGAGTGATGAGGGATGGGTAATGGCCCTGAAAGATCAGCAAAGACAATTGTCCCAGCACACCTTTTTAGCAGGATTGTGATATCTATTTATCATGAGAATGAGCAAGAATTTTGCTTTAAAATATCAAAGAAATTATTTGTTTTTATTATGATGTTTTAGATTCTATGACTGTATATCTCTATAGCATTGCAGTATGGTTTTTCCAACACATGCATATAATATATGACATTCAAATCAAGGTATTACCATATACATTATTTTCAACAGAGAACTTTGCATCCTTTTTGCTGTTAAGCATTTTTTTCCTTTGCTCTTCTCACCCATCCTCTGTCATCTAATTCCCTCCTTTATAGTCTTTGGTATCTATATGTACCCTCTTTACTATTATCTTGGCTTTTAAGACCTTTGTGATAGTAATTTGAATAATTAGATATGCCTTGGAGAAATGATGAGGGCTGATGATTGTTAGATAAAATGAATATGCCTACTATAATTTAAGGATAAATAACTTTGCTACCTGGAATTTTATGCCCTATGATATAATGACAATTAAGTGCAGTCAGTCTCCCCAGGTTTTAGAGTCAGGACCACCCCAAAGAGATGTAGTAAGTTTCAGGTGAGATGGTGTCCTTACAAACTCATAGGCACAGAATAAGCACTGAGGGAGGCAGACATTTAATCTAATGCATTCATGTAAATTCAACAATACAATACTAAGTGTTTTCCATGTAGATCCCTACAGGAAAAAAATGAGCCAAGATTTGTTTTATTATTATTATTATTATTATTATTATTTTTGGAGAGGTTTTTGCTATAGGGTGAATATGCTCGCCAGACAGAGAGAGACAGAAAGTGAGAAATCACCCCCCAGGGGGATGGCCATGCCGCAATCCCTTCTCCTCCATTCTCCTTTTGGGATCTTGGGCAGGCATGCACACACGCCCGGTGTGAGTTTTAAGTCACCAGGTCCGGGACTCGAACTGTGGTTGACTACGTGGGAGTCCAGCGACATAGCCATTATGCTAACTGCTGGTCCCCAAGATTTGTTTTATTAAATGGTGGGATACGAGCATTTTTGCTCTTACCCATGGTATATAATATATATTAGTTAATGTAAAAGTAATTGATTCAAGTAAATATTTGCACTTCCTTTCATTTCAGCCATTTGAAGAAATAAACATAACTTTGAACTTTACTGATTTTATGTTTTGCAAAAATTATATGTGTTAAATCAGAGATGAACTTCAAAAACATTACACTTAGTAATAGAAGCTTTACACAAAAGACCACATGCTGTATAATTCTATTTATATGCGATGTCTAGGAAAGGCAAATTTGTAGAGATGGAAAGTATGTTAGTGGTCACCTTGAGAGAAAGAGAGAAGCAGAAAGTCAGGTACCCCCAACAGCGTCCTTATGCCTTGATCTGCCCCTAGTTTTAGTTGATCAGGGGCACATGTGTGCCCACCTGGCATACTCAGAGAGGGCATGAAACTCAAACCCTTAGAATCCAGTTGCATTTATACTGCCATACACATGATCCTAGTTTAAAAACGCCTTGAAATGCTTTCTCTGAGTTTATGTTTTTGGTTGCCATATGTACTTAGAAGCTTGATATTTTGCTATTGCTAGTATTTAGAATGCTAGGGTCATAATGAGATTCATGGCAGATTCACATTTTATTGACTCCCTTGAATATGAGTATCTTTGAAGTACTTCTCTTTACTCTTCTCAGGCCTCATTTGTATTTATGGTCTAATAATAAGTTTTATATATAGTTATTCTAAATAGTTAAGGCCACTAATTCTCTCACTCTGGCTCCTTCTCCTACTATCAATATGATATGCTGATTTACATGTTCTGTCAACCCCTGAAACTTGAAAAGAAAAATACTCTTGATTATTTGATTATTTTCAGTCATAGTTTGACTTTACTAGAATTTATCTTTCTTAATCATATCCATCATACTTAGTCACGCATCATCTACTACCAAATTTTACTCTGTATTATTATTTTGAGAGGATATTTCTTTTAAATTTCCATAAAATATGTTGATCCCAGCTCATTGTGAAATATTACCATGTAATCTCTTCGTTAGAGAAGATCTGTTGCTTCATAAGTCAAAGCCTTTGTCTTTCAGCCAATACAAAATTCATTAAAATACTATCTTGGTATATATGAAACTCCCAATCAATTAGCTCCCTATAAAATTTACACTTACCTATTCTAAAGGCACA